TTTATGTGATTTAGACATTGTGCAAACACTATATTTTATATAGTGTCCAGATTATAGATGATTTCTGTTCTTGCAATGAGTTTGTATGTAATTTAGAACAGTTAGGTACTGATTATATATAACATCAATTAATAAATTTCTGTACAATTATATAATATATTGAATACATTATATGCAACAAAGTTATTGGTAAAGCACTTCTAGAAACACTGAAATAGTTTTAGTAATAATAAAAATAATTTTATTTGCCATGTAAAACCACATAAATATATTTCTAGGAACTATTTTATATAATGCAAGGTTTTTAATACAATAGGCTTAATGAGGATTAGAACTGCTGACATTTATGTGATCAAATGTTGCCCAAAGAAGTGTTTTCCATCATGCGATTTGGGATAGGTTTTTTGTTCCTGTTTGGTGTTCTGTCAGGTTGTAATATTTGATTCCATATTGCTATATGCTGAAAATTACTATTTTTTAGAACATAGATTTTTTTAAAAGAATTGCTAAGTAAGTTATTTTAATTGTGTATTCTTACACAGCAAATTATAGAAACAAAGAGGCTCTACTTAGTGAATATTCACATTTAGCTAGGTAAGATTTTGCATATTAGCACAGTTTTACCATGTTATTTAGTAATATACATACACACACATGTCTTTCTGTATATGCATCATGCTTCTCTTGTCAAGTCATAGAGATAGATATGTGTACATAGGAATATATATACAAACAGATACACAGGTATACACACACACACACACAAATACAGTAGCACGTACACACAAATACAGTAACACATATGCCTGCCTTTCTCACTTATCTTGTGTAGCAGTAGATGAGAGACTTGTAGTGTCCTGAGGCGTGTCAGTTTTCTCTAAGTGCTGACCAGTTGACATTTTGAAATTGGAAGAATCCATTCTAAAGATATTAGTGCTCCTCCCAGGGTATTTCATATAAATTTCTGTTTATCTTTAATATCATTATGTACAGTGTTATATTTTGCTTTCTCATGAAACTTTCTGGATAAAAATATTTTCTTGATTTCTTTATGAACAAAGATGTTACCAGTAATACAGAATAGAAAAATTATAAAAACCGTTTCTTATTATGTGAAAGCACTGAGGTAATGAGAATTTATTTTTCCTCAGTCAACACTGGTCTACCTACTGGTAGCTCCTTATTTATAGAGGAAACAGAAACAAACTTAATAATATAAAAACTGATTTAAAGAGATATATTCTATAGCTATTATCAAATCCAACTAAACTTCTATAGAACTGCTTTAAAGTTTTAGCACTTTTATAATAAAATCAGAAAGAGTGTGAATCAATAAATTATCATGAGATTTATACTTTTAAAATATCTTTTTTTGTTTTTCCTTATTTATTATTTTTATTATTATTAAATTTTATTAGTTTTAATGAACATTTGCAGGGATTTTGGGTTTTCATTCCTTCATTGCTGCACCATTCTCCCTACCCTCCTCCCCAGTTTGTTCTTCTTCCCCCACCATCCGAATGTCTGTTTTAATTGTCCAATTGCCACAGTGATTGTCAAAGTCAGTTCTGATTAATCTCCTTTGTCAGTCTGTCCTTTGCCATTCCCTATCACTCCTCCCTCAGAGAGACTTCACCCTGAAAGGGGTGGCGTATTCTCTTAGCTACTTCCTGCTGAAAAGGGACGCTGTGGGTTTCAGGGTGAAGATCTTCTCTCACTACTCTAAAGGGCCCCTTTGGCAGTAGGAAACACATAGACTATTATGGAGATTGATTTTGGAATTTAGATGCACTGTTATTAATTGTGCTTAGCCGTACATGTTCATATCCTTGAAGATGTATCATGGGGGTGTTGCAACCTAGAAGACACAAATTTGACTAACAAGTTATAAGTACATGAGTCAAAAATTATGGAAAAGTAAAAGAAAAGTTCTTTCATTGTTTTACAAACCCTCCCCCAGGTCCCCTCCACCATGGAGCCATCGCTCTAGACTCCTGTGATGACAGAAATACCTAGTCACATATCTCTTTTAAACAGTTTTCTCCCTCCTCTGTTTCAGTGCAGTATACATTATTGAACCCATCTTACTCAGTCTCTCCCCAACCCCAAGGACAGTCCCATTCTACAACAATGGCATCATGTAATATTTGTCCTTTTGTGACTGGGATATTTCACTCAGCATAATGTTCTCCAGAGTCAACCATTTTGAATAATATTGCATGAGTTCCTTGTTTTTCAATGCAGCATAGTATTCCATTGTGCGAATATACCACAACTTCTCTAGCCATTCGTTTGTTGATGGGCACTTAGGTTGTTTCCAACTCCTTGCTATTGTGAACAAAGCTGCAATAAACATGGGTGTGCATATATCTGCTTGGATGTCAGCTATGGTCTCTTCAGGGTATATTCCCAGTAGTGGAATTGCTGGGTCAAATGGTATCTCTATTTGCAACTTTTTGAGAAAGCGCCATACTGCTTTCCACAGGGGTTGCATCATTTTACACTCCCACCAACAGTGAATCAGGGTTCCAGTTTCTCCACAACCTCGCCAACATTTGTTGCTTGCTGTTCTGTTAAATTTTGCTATTTTGACTGGGGTGAGATGATATCTCATAGTTGTTTAAAATATCTTATATGATGATGTCTATTGTTGTTGTTATGTGTCGTCGAGTTGTTTGTGACTCATAGCTACCCTATGTACAACAGCTCTAACTCTGCTCTGTCCTGTGCCAATCGCATTGTCTCTGACACATTCATCCCGATTGCCCCAGTCACTGAATCAGTCCATCTCCCAGAGGGCCTTCCCCTCCTGCAGCTGCCCTCCTCCCTCCCAAGCATGATGTCCTTCTCCAAGGACCAGTCTCTCCTTACAACATGACCAAAGTATGTCAGACGATGATGTCTATTAAGTGAGTTAAATGTGTTTCTTTTATTAGCCATTATATTTGTCTTTTTCTGATACTGGGTTCCGGCACTGGTCTCATGAATTCAGCACTGAAGTGTTTTATTGAAAGGACACAGAGAACAAATAGAAAGATAGCTAACATTTTTTGTCAGTTTAAATTGTGTAACATTTTAACATTGTTCTAGGCCTTATTCTAAACATTTTATATGTAACGTTCATTGCATTTTCTCAACATCCTTTAAGTCAGGTATACTATTATTGGAGAAACAACTTCAGGTAACTTTTTATCCAAGATTGTATATATAGAAGGTAGGGGTAGGATGTGTTTGTTTGTGTATGCGTGTATTCAGATTTAGGGAGTACAGTGCAGAGTCCATGTTCTTGATTAGTGAGTATCAGTGTGCTTGCCAAAACTGAGGAGCACCTGAGGCATTTGCTGCAGAAGGTCAAGGACTACAGCCTTCAGTATGGGTTGAAGCTCAAAATCAAGAAAACAAGGAGTCTCACCACTGGACCAATTGGCAGCATCATGATAGACAGTGAAGAGATTGAGATTGTTGACAGATTCAGTTTGCTTGGCTCCACAAAACCCTTTTGGTATCAGCAGCTGAGAAATCAAAGGATGAATTGCATTGGGAACCACTCCAGAGTACTAAAGAGCCATGATCAGTCAGGAGATTAAGGTGCACATGATCCAGGCCATAGTGTTCACAATTACTTGCTATGCTCCAAAAAGCTGGACAATGATTCAGGATAATAGAAGAATCAATGCCTTTGATTTGTGGTGCTGGAGAAGAGAATTGAATATACCATGGACGGCTAGGTGTACAAACAGGTTCATCCTGGAGAGGGTGAAACCTTGGAGACAGGATTCTGAAACTCTGTCTGATGTACACTGGGCATATTGCAAGGAGGGACCAGTCCTCAGAGAGGGACATTGTACTTAGAGGAGTGGAGGGATAGTACAGGAGAGGAAGACCCCAGATGAAATGTATTGACTCAGTGATTGGGGTAATGGGGGCAGGTATGTCAGAGACCGTGAGATTGACTCAAAGTAGAGCTGGAGTCAGAGCTGTTGTACCTGGGGTCAAATCACAAGTAACTCAATGGCACATAACAACAATAACAACAATGTATTTTGAAATGCTTAACACAGGGAAGGTATGATAGTAAAACTGGAAAGTAAAACTCCCAGAAAGAAAATATTCTTTTCTACCAACAAAGTGATTTTCAGACTGCCATTTGATAGTCTATCTCCAGTTTCACTTAATGAAATACAGGTTTAGAAGTTTAAGAGAAGTTAAGTAAACCTAGAATTCTCTACTTACCTACTACTAACCATGCAAGGTGATATAAAGCTGTTTCACATGTGTAGAAAGTAAGTTTAGTGCTCATGGATGTTCTCTTTATAAATTACTAAAAATGCACTTTTGAAAGGAAGAAGTTGTTACATCTTTATATTCTTGTGTGAAGCTAAAGATACTATTAAAAGATTCTTTCTGTGTACGTATTTCTCCTTCAATATTAGCCCATCCACTAATATGGGAACATGTGCTACAAAATTATGTACTAAGAAGATGATTATACGAACATTAATAGGGAGATCTTGTAGCCTAGTGGGGCAGGGAGTTTAAATCCACCAGTGACTCCGCAGAGAAGGATGGTCAGTCTCCTCTTAAGTGATTTACTGCCTGTAAAAACCCACTAGAGGGTCAACTATGAGTTACTCCTGACTCCTTCACTGTTAATATAGTCCATTAATGTATTCTACCAGCATTAATATGTTCTCTCAATTAAAACATATTCTAAAAATGGAAATATTGGTCATTGAAAGAAAAACGCTATTGCTGATGATGGCATTGGCAATAAACGTAATGGAATTTAAGAGTAACATGTTACTTAGATTATTAATGAGTAAATACACTCTCATTAATGTTAGTAGCTTAGATAACTTAGATGCTTCAGAATTTATATATCACAAATAAGAAGTCTCTTGTACTTTTACAGTCTCATTATTGCTTAGTAATCCAATGCTTCATGTGATAATTCATGTCCACATGGTCATCTGAGTTCTAATTTATTATTTCTTTTACAGCGCCTGGCGGGGGAGGCAGAGCGAGTCCAAGCAGCCCACCAGTGGAGGGAGGATTTTGCAGTAAGAACTTTTCTAACTACTTCAATTATATAGATTGAGCTTCTTTGTTTTGGTCAATAGTATTATATTAACATTTTTTCTGTGACTGATTTAGTGGTGCTGTAAGAACAAAAATAGATATATTTCTTGGTGTTTTAGTGATAAAAAGTAGTGCTGTAATCCTAAAGATTGTTGTTGTTGTATTGTTATGTGCCATCAAGTCTTTTGCGACTCATAGCGACCCTATGTACAACAGCCCTAAACCCTGCTCTATCCTGTGCCAATCACATTGCCTCTGACACACCGATCCCGATTACCCCAGTCACTGAATCAATCCACCTCATAGAGGGCCTTCCCCTCCTGTGCTGTCCCTCCACCCTCCCAAGCATGATGTCCTTCTCCAAGGACCTGTCTCTCCTTACAACATGTCCAACGTATGTCAGACGAAGCCCCAGAATCCTTGACTCCAAGGAGTAGCCTGGTTTAACCCTCTCCAGGATGAATCTGTTCGTTTTCTTGGCAGTCCATGGTACATTCAGTACTCTTCTCCAGCACCACAGCTCAAAGGCATCATCAATTCTCCTCCTATCCTCTCTAGTCATTGTCCAACTGTCTGATGCATAACAAGTGATTGCAAAGACCATGGCCTGTGTCAGGCACACCTTAGTCTCCAGAGAGACCCCATTGCTCCTGAGTACTTTAGAGAGGTCCCTAACAGCAGCCTTTCCCATCGCAATACGTTCTTTTTTATTTCCTGGCTGCTGGTGCCCAGAGTGTTGACCGTGGAGCCGAGCAAACTGAAGCTATGAACAATCTCAATCTCTTCGCCATCCATCCTGATGCTACCAATTGGTCCAGTGGTGAGAATGTACCTATCCTAAAGATACACAGTTTAAATCCACCAGCTGCTTCAGGGGAAAGTATTAGCAGTCTCCTCCCATGAGATTAACTACCTCTGAAAGCCTGCTAGAGGGTTGGTCAGCTATGAGTGGGTTCTGACTCAATAAAAACCAATGGACTCAAAGAGTAGCTGCATGTTTTTGCTGTTTCAGGAAATTGTTCTTCTGTTACCTTAGCCAATTAAATTTTTAAAAGATGTTCTTGTCTTCTCTGGTGTTGTTTGTGTTGTTTTCATTTTCCTTGAGATGTACTCCAATACTTAAAAGTATTTAGAATATTAGTATCTTAAAAATGATAAGAAGTTGCAAAATCTTAATAATCATTGTGTGTTTATTTCGTATGCTTATTGGAAACCAAACTGCATTAACAACATGAATCTGTTAGAAAGGGTATGAAGTTTATAATCACCGTTATGATGTGGAATGTGATTACAGGGAGAATGGAATTATTAAACCTCTATTTAATTTGCTCCACTTGAGCTAGAAGTAATCTTTCTCCTCTAACCTACTTTTACAACATGCTAAATAATACTAGCTTTTGTAAGTATCTTTTTTATGAACTTTATTTGTACTCCAATTGTTATTCCACTTCTGGTTATAGTAAAAAGCAAAAGTTGTCCTGTGCTGAATTCTGTCTGTCTAGTATCATCACCAGCATCATTTTATCTCACATTTACCTGTGACAGTGACAAAATAGTCACTTAATAGTCATAGAAATACATGGTTTAACTGATTTAGCCTATAAGTGTGAGGAGTCTTAGCAGATAGTATAGGGAGAATTCTTAAACACTTTAATTTCCTTTTAGAAAAGTTCACATTAGATGTAGAATTTATTAATTGGGTATATAACATGAACAAAGACTAAAAGAAAAACAAATTTGGTCGCCTTGCAGGCCTTTAGATTCATTTATCGAATATATTTCTCAAAATACTGATAATATTAACAATATTCCCACCGAGAATTGATGTCTCCAAACTGTATTGTGGCACCTACACATAAAGTCTTTGCAAGGGTTCTTGTTTTTGAAATAACTTGAGGAAATAGAACATTGATGTAGTGGATGTTTTGTGCCAGAATAGAGCTGGTGGAAGATTTTGTAATCTTCAGGCTCAAAATGTACAAAATAGAAGATAAATTTCTCCCTTTTTCTATTTCTTTTTGTCAATGTAACAAACTTTAACAAATACATTTTACACCACAAATCACCTTTAAATTTGTGAAGGGAATCAGTATCACATCTCTGCTTTTTTTTGTGAAACCGCAAATAGCAATTTTATCAATATTTAACCAAATATTCAAAAAGTATTTAATTTAAAATTGTGTGTTACCCTTTTTATTTTCCAAGATATTTAACTATTTGTATCAGTGCCGTGGTTTTTTAATGACACCCTTCAATAATTTAGCTGCGGATAGATTTCGAAGAAATCATTTCCTAAAAGCTGCATTAGCATTTCAAAAAGGAATATAATATTCTGGTTCCTCCCTCAAGTATGAGTAGGCAGGATTCATTAATATTACTTAGGCAAAATGTTGATTAACATTCCCTGCTGTGTAACGTAGAGACAGCTCATGGACAACAAGAACAAAAGGCAAATCACTGGAATGCTGGCAACAAAAAACGGCTCCTGTAATTCACACTCTCCCTGAGCCCCATTCAATTCCCAACTGAACATGCAACTGGAGAGACAAAGGGCGTACACTCTAAGTGGATTAAGATTTATGCGGTCATGCATTTACAAGTGCAAACCAATATTTGTAAATAAGCTGTGTCTACCAGCTGCTTCTCAGGTCTCCAGGCAACTTAAGAATGTTAAAGGTGATATTTTGTGTTGTTGATGATGGACAAATTATTTTATTAAGGGCAGGTGGTAGAAAAGGGGATAAAAAAGGTTTGGAAAAATTAATTGTTCTGCATGGAATAAAAGCTGTGATTTTATCAAACAGATCCTTTCCAATTGCATTTGAAATCTCATTTGATTGCATTGCAATGGTTGGTTAACTAAAGCAATTTTGTTTCCAACTAAGCCTGCACTATTAATTGTACTTACACATGTATAAACATAAAGTGTGCCTAATTTGTATTTTAATAAGTAGGATCTTTATGTATGGCTTATTAACATCAGCCTGTTACTCTGTAGGCTGAGTCCAAATGCCTAAAAATTGGCCAGAACAGAAAACATTTGAAAAGCCCTTTTTAGCTACAGTTCCACCAAAAAGTAAATTAGAAGGTGAAATTTTTTCTAGTGATGTTAATAATTACTGAGTGTCAGTGATGTTAATTTACACCGTTGTGAGCTTTAATTTATAACTTTTAAAATATAGCTTTGATCAAATCCTATTTTGAAATGTTGCATTAAATGTTGCAGTATTTTTAAATTTTGCTTTTATATATGTAAAATCAACAGTCATGCACATTTAGTGCTTAGTTATTTGCTCTCCTTTTCATTTCATTGAATTGTATCACTTCAGTTCATTGGAATACAAAACAATTTTGGATATAAAGACTGTGAAAGCATGCTATATTTTTGTTATCTAAAGATATTTTATTATAAACTTGAACTTAGCCTAGGTTATGAATCCAGAATTGTTGATTTTAAAGACTTGAAAAGGGTTTGGTAGCAGTCTTTCTTAGGGAATAAAAGAATGAATTTGACAGATGGTCATCACGATGAGTTAAGCTCTGACTGAATAGGATCCTTTTTAGTTTATATATGTGGTTGATCTGACCTCTTGCAATCAAGAGCTGTCTACATAGAAAATTACTTTTTAGTATTTTTAAAGAAAAACTCCCACATTTTTATGAAAAGTATTAACAATCTGTCCTCATTATCATGGTATGTCAAGAGCTACAGTACCACACTGATTTAGCAAAAATATGAGGAACAAAATGAGTTAGGCAAATGCTTATGGTGCATCCCTCTCTTTGTTATGTGTGCATGTGAATTCTCATGGTAAGAGCCTTGTAGCAAATCAAAGTAGAATGTGCTAATCAGCACATTTAAATTGTTGATTTTTCTTGGTAGGAAAGAGGAAACAAATGTTGGGCTTTTGTTTTTCATTAATTTAAGAGTGAAAGTACTCTTATTTTCTTTTGAATGATATTTTTGGGCCTTTTACTTATCTCCCTGATTTTACTTTAATACTATCAAAGTCAGTGTTGCATGATAATATAACTTCCAGAAGTAAAACTTTATATGCTTTGGGCTTATTCAAATTTAGGTAGATATGTTGTTGTTGTTGTTAGTGTTTGTTATGTGCCATCGAGTCGCTTGCAACTCAGAGCGACCCTATCTATGTACAACAGCCCTAAACCCTGCCCTATCCCTTACCAATCTCATGTCTCTGACAAACCTATCCCTATTATCCCAGTGTCTGAATCACTACACCTCACTGAGGGTCTTTCTCTCCTACACTGTCCCTTTACCCTTCCAAGCACGATGTACTTCTTCAAGGACTGATCCCACCTTGCAACGTATCTAAAATATGTCAGACAAAGCTTCAGAATCCTTGTCTCCAGGGTAGATAGGAGGGTGGATATATTTCTATTCTTTTTCACTGATTGAGAGGTGAGACAGATTAGAAAATATTGCACTTAAAAATAGCAGGTAAAAAAGTTAGCAGGCATCTTAACCTCAGAAATTAGGCCTCAGTTGCCAGGTCCCTATATTTTTCCTATGGCCCAATCTTGTGTTTCAATATCCTGCGCTTGAACTGATGACTACAATGTAAAATAGTTGGGAGACCTTTGCTTCCAGTATCTTAAAAACCATAACCATGCAAAACATCAAGAACTGTCTCTACTATTTAATATAGTAAAGATTATTCTCTGTGGAATCATCTCTACTGCTTAAGGCAGTATAGTTGTAGCCATCACTGGTTTTGAACTCCATAATCTGACTTTTCTATAACTTAAAGTGTATCTTATTAAAAATATGAACATTTTCTTTGGCATTAAAATACAGATTTATAATTCCCTTCTACAAAGCAAATCAAAATGAGAAATGTTTGGGTAGTATGCATTGTTGCAGTTTATTTATGTATTCTATTGCATTGGAGCTCTGGTGACACAGTGGCAAGAAGCTGCGCCACAATCCTGAAGACAAGCAGTTCGAAACCACCAG